TTTTAATTTAATAGTTTCACTTACATTTCTGAGCGATACACTCAGGGGCGAATCTAACCAATAGAATGAAAGGGGCCTAATCGTTATTGAAAAAACATCATACTGTAATAAAAATATAAATACAAAAACACACATTTATAATATAGTTATGAATTTTCATATATAGTTCAACATCATCCTATAATAATATCGTTGAATTTTTTTATCGCACTTTCTTTTGGCCAAAGTGGAAGAGTCGATGCTACATGTGGGGGCACTGCCCCCACATGCTTTTGACTATTGATATGCACACACTCACACACACACCCACATGGGTGTGTGTGAAGTCAATGGTAAAAAAAGCATGTGGAGGCAGTACCCCCACATGTAGCATGAAATTTTCCGGCCAAAGTCTAACAATGTTAGAATTCCCCTTCAAATTTATTTGGAATTAAAGTATCTCATTTTAAAATATTTTAATGTGAACTTTTCTTTTCAAGACATATTTCAAAATTATTTCTCCATAATTAATAAAAATTGAATAAATTATGATATTTAAAAAAACCATAATGTATAAAATGATGTACTAATATATAAAACATTTAAGAGCTTACAATTTGAGTTAGTAACCACACACAAAGTGTAGTAGATGATATGTTTTATAATATTTAAGAAACAACAATCAATTAACTAGAAGAATGCTAAAAAGTACAATAAGTGTGTAACTTTTTTTACAAGTTTAATAATAAAAAAAAAAAGGTTAAAATTAGTTTAAAAATTGGTAAGAACAAGAATTTCTGATCACCACTCTTGGCTCGAGCATCTAATTCGCTCAATACATCACCAATCGCTTTGGTACTAGCCATTAAAGAATTTTGACACTCCTCAAATAACTCCACCAATGATGAACTAGCCTCTTGTTCAAGCGAAGATTCTGACAAATATTGTAAGCCTCCGTGGTAGAATTGAGATTCGTCGTGCTCATAAGTAGGCTCATACGATCGAGAATATTGTGGATTTCCATAGAATGAATTACCAAAGCGATTGGTGATGTATTGAGCGAATTGGATGCTCGATTTTTTATTTCTTGTTTGTGCAAGTATTAATTTTTTTTAATAGAATATTAAACTATTTTTTGAGTTCTAGCTATGCCTAATTCATAAAAAAAATTATTTTTTCAGTGTGGGCCTAGGCCCACACTGGTCTATATATAGCTCCTCCCCTGGATACACTTCAATGTCATCCAGATAATTACTACAAAATCCATGTATTATACGGGTACTTGTAAAAAAATATTTTTAAATTTTAAAATTAATGAGAAAATTTATTTTAAAATTATTTACTTTTCTAGAAAAAATATATATTATTATATATTTTAGGGTAACATTTGTTACTTGTGCGACTTACATGTGTTATATTATAGTAACTTTTATAACTTATATCATCTAACTATTTGAAATATGAATATATTAGTTGATAAATAATTTTATTTTTAATTAATATTAAAAAATAATTTTATTGTTATAAAGATAAACATAATTTATTTTATACATATAATATGGTTGTAAATCGAAGATCACCAAGAGATTAATAAATTGATATATTATATCTGAAACTAATAAAAAATACAAAAGTTATTTACTTTTAAAATACATTTACTATTAAACGATCATAATAAGAAATGATATTAAAATGCAATTAATATATGTGACATGACAATAAATAATCAACATATTTATAGATAATTCAGACCTAATTATTTTGGTTTGAAAGTAATTAAAATCTACTCAAACATAATAACAAAGCATATGATTTTGCCACATAGAATCTCGAAACATGCGAGCTTGCCACTTAGACTCAACACATTCTGAATTAATATAGAGGGGGATTTTGCAAGCCATATTAATTGGTAAAATCAGTAGATGGCCATAAACTTCAATAATAAAGAGAATTACACAAGAAACATGTCTCACTTTCTTTCAAGTTCAAGTAGCATTAATAAATAAAAAGTTTCAAACATT